GGGTATGGTACACGAACGGCCTTCGTACCTTGAAACTTGGCCCGCCTTTCCACGGACCGTACGTTATCACCACCAACGTGGACAAGCAAACCTACACCAATTTCCAGGTTTAACCCGCATGGCACACACGGACTGCCGCCAAACTGCCGCGCGACAACCTTTTTTTTTTTTTTTTTTTTTTTTTTTTTTTCATGAACAACCAGCGATTGACGTCGATTTCAGCGCAACTCGCTTTGCGCCGCGCAGATCCTCCGGTTGCACGCGCTTCACGCCGACGGCGCCCTCCACGATGGCTAGACGCATAACAGAGGATCACAACAACATTAACAAAAATATGCGAGGACGCAAAGATTATGAGCTCGGGAGTGTAAGCTAATACGCTGGCGGCAAAGACCCGTAAGGAGAGCCTCCCCGCCTCGACCGGATGGGAGCCCGACTGCAGCTCGACTTCGACCCCCGATGCTGCATCCCGGCGTGGGAAAGAGCAAGGAGAACCCTTAGGTGCACGAGATACGGAACGATAAAAATAACGGACAAGACAAGATGTCTCAAACACAGCTTCTATACCCGTTTTCACGTCAAGAACCCTAGTAAAAAACAAATAAAAAAAAGTCCGACTTCTCGCGAACCATTACTATTTTTCACCTTTATGTGAAGAATTAAGAGATATGTAGGTGAATTCTACTATATATATTATCCAGACGTACACGTTTCAGCGCCAAAATCATCGCTTTTTTCCTCCGACAACCAAATCTCGTAAGACTTCGCGTCGTGTATACGAACAATGCTCAAAACTTTCTTTTTTTCTTGAAAAAACGGGTATAGTTTATTTGAACAACGAACGCTCTTATATATACGTCAAGATTCTCGCCACAAAAAAAAAAAAAAAAAAAAAAAACAGCAAAAAACTTCACTACAACCTAAAAAAAAAAGTTATCACCTTACACCCTTTTGTCCCATATAATGCACCCCAAAACTTTAGTTCGACGTACAGCGCACTATAGTCGAACAGACGGCCTCAAATTTTACGAGGGGCTTGATAACGGTGTCATATAGCTTATTGAATAACTAAAGTACGTATCAAAGACCACACAATAAAAACACTGAGGTTTTGCAGTAAAGCCAAAAAAAACCCGAGGTCTTTTTTTTTTTTTTTTAGTCAGTAACACGTACATTAGCTATTTTAATAAGTTGTACGCCACGGCTATCGAGCCTCTCGTGAAAGTTAGTACCCAAATCGACGTCAGTGCGCTGTACGTCGAACTGAAGTTTTGGGGTGCATTCTATGGGACACCTTTTTTTTTTTTTTTTTTTTTTCGAGTGTAGGTCACTGAAAGCCGGACACTCAGACACATACAAATGATTCATGGTCACATCAACCAGCCACCCTGACGACCTCGCTTGATGAGTGACCAGACACATGCGATAACAGGCAACTCCATCACAACCCTTACTATAATATGAATATGATACACGCGTGACGAGACGTCCCTACAGCGTGCAATTCGCTTAACGAGTGTCGATGAAACGATCGTGTCGACAAAACGTGTTTCCGGGAAACGTCTGCCCATGAAAAGTTGTCCACGATACGTAATTCCACGAAACGAGTTTCGACGAAATGAGAGGGTCCCGTCAATGGTCCCGTACACCACTCCTGCCTGAAAAGTTACATCTGGGTTCTTATGTTTATTTCTGGCAGCCCTGAGGACCACCAGAAAGGGGGTTAACCTTTCTAATTTGTGATAAGCTTTGAAAAATAAATTTACACCGAACCTCTTTGCCGCTGATATAAAGTTATGAGAGATTCCATGGTTGTAAGGCACACACACAGCATTCTTCACAACCGTTTTTTCCACAGGAGCCGGATTAAACTTTCAGCACCTTGTGCACGACTCTAACAATTACATCGTGGTGGTGGCCCGCTTCCAAACGACGCATCTTTTGCAACTCGACTGGCTCTCCAACCTAAAGCATACGAGATTTTTTACAGGCGTTATCTTTCGCAGACGCAATTACACCACTCTTAACTATTTTTAAGTGACAGCTGTCAACTTCTAACATAGACGCTGCCAACAGAGGCTTTGCTGATTCCTTGCCCCACCTCCAGCACAGGTCCTTTTCCGTGTGAAACAGGAGGCCTATAAGCACTCAATTCGACTGTTGCAACCGCAGGGTTGTGCGGTCCAGTCTACAAGGACCGCACAACCGTGTCAACGTGAACATCAACCTCGTTTTAAAAAATCTCGGACAACATTGGAGCAATTCACGACCCGATGCACACTCCCTCTTTGTGAATAAAAAGAGAACCATCAAAGTCTACGGCAGTGGACTCTAAATAAAACTCTATAATGCTCATAAAACTATCTATATCAATCCCAGAGGCAGACTGCAACTTCACTAGATTATCATCACACCACCTGACCCTTATTAACAGCTCCGACTTATCCATAGAGTAATGGCATTGATGTCTACAGGTGTCCCATCACACCTTCTCCCATGATGCGGATTCAATATTTCAATCAATTGCTCAGAGTTTTTGAGTGACAATGGACTGTTGCTCCGCTCCTATCAGGCATTTCTGGATAAAAATCGACGGCACCTTCTGCCAAGCTCCATTTTGGTTCACAACTATTCTAATAATTACACGAGGATATGTGATTGTTAGAGTTGTGCTCAAGGTGTTAGGAACGTTTAATCCGGCTCCTGTGGAAAAACCGGTTGTAAAGAATGGTGTGTGTGTGCCTTACTATACCTTGGAATCTAGCTCTCTTAACTTTATATCAGTGGCAGAGAGGTTCGGTGTAAATTTAGTTTCCAAAGCTCAGCACAAATTAGAAAGGTTAACCTCCTTTTCGGGTGGTCCTCAGGGGTGCCACAAAAAACACGTTACGACACGTGCCGGAACTATTGATGGCGTCCGCCTAAGTGCCTAGCGAGAACAGTGGAAGAAGCAAATAATGGTTTGCACACGCAGTCATGCGTGGCTTCAATTGACTTGGCATAAAAAGAGACAGTGTATTTGCGGCCTACGGCGGGGCCACGGATTGGTTGAGATGTGGTGCGGTGACGGAGTGTGAATCTACACTGCGGCTCTTGGGTTAAATCAGTTGAAAGTAAGCGCTCTGTGGTGTTCTTCCTCTGTCTATGTCTTAAAGCGCAATAATGTTTTCTCACGTACAATACCAACTCGCCCAACAATCAGCAATGGTAGGAGAGTTCTAAGGGAGACCATGCGTATTTCGACCTCTGGTAATTGTATAAGCACATTGTCCTTGGCATTGGACGGTGATATGAAGCGTATTTCGTGTCTCTAAGGTCTTGTTTTGTGGGTTTTCCGAAAACTGTAAGGGCTCTGCTGGAGCTGGAGTTGCCTGTTATCGCATGTGGCTGGTCAGCCCGCAAGCGAGGTCATCAGGGTAGCTGGTTGGTGTGAATCATTTGGATCTGTCTGAATCATGAACCATATGGGTTCTGTGAGTGTCCGGTTCTCGGTGACCTAGTTAAGAGGAGGTGTTTTTTCATTGGTGGTGAGAGTCTTGAGGTATATATAAGAGCGTTCGTTGTTTAAATAAACTAGCAACTGTGTTCGAGACTTGTTGTTTTGTCCATTTCTTTTATCGTTCCGTGTAAAGGAGTAAAAATGAGAGGGAAAAAACATACAGACACCGGTGTATTTATTCATTTTTTTTATGCATAATATAGTAGGTGAGACTGATACAGAAGCAGAAAAAAAGAAACACCAATGCTACGCACCCCTCCACACCCCCCCCCCCCCCCCCCTAAAAAAAAAAAAAAAAATGGCGGCGCCGGCGGCGCGCCGGGTTTTTTGCCCGGCGGCGGCGGCGGCGTGCTGGCTCTGGGGATTCCGGCGGCGGCGCAGGGCGCCGAGAGCAAAACAGGTGGCGGCGGCGGCGCGGCGCGGCGGCGCACAGGTCTAACCCTGGCAGGTCTACCAGGCGTCTGACATTCCACTAACGTCGTGCTTGCAGCGGTCCCCTGGTGTCGTCTGAAAGCACTAGGACAATAGCTATTTAATAAAGGCACATTAATTGATTGCATTATTAAGACAATCATCTAGCGGTCTAATATGGGGTAGTTTGACGCGCGCTGGTCGCGTAAAAGCACACCCCCAAATAAGCCGCTTTTGAGCGAAAAAGACGCCTCCTTATCAGGAAAACCTTTGCCTCCTATCACCGCCGATAAGGCCAAAACTTTTTTCAGCCAACTTTACCTGACAGGCCTACCAGGCGTCTGACACTCCACTAACGTCGTGCTTGCAGCAGTCCCCTGGTGTCGTTTGAAGGCACTAGTCGCGGGCGTTACATGTATTCAAATAATGACAATAGCTATTTAGTAAAGGCGCATTAATTGATTACTTTATTAGAACAATCATCTAGCGGTCTAATATGGGGCGGTTTGACGTGCGCTGGTTGCGTGAAAGCACGCTGCTGAGCGAAAAAAACGCCTCCTTATCAGGAAAATCTTTGCCTCCTATCAGCGCTGATAAGGCCAATACTTTTTTCGTACAACTTCACTGTTTAACCTTTAACCCTAATTAATGGCCTTAGCAGGTACTTCACTTACGTCATGCATTGCAGCGGTCTCCTGGTGTTGTTTGAAAGAACCCAGGCAAAAGAATGTCACATTTGGGATAAGAACAAGGACGTTTAAACTGGATAAGAAGGACGCGGTGTGAGCTCCCACAAGCATCCCAAATGAAATTCTAATGAATGAGCCTGGAAGATCTTGCACGGGATATTGAGGGCACCGAAGCACAATGAAAGCGTGCTTCGGGCACCTTTCATCATAGCACTTGATGCAACTGATGTGAATCAGTGATGCACATCAATTGCCATGATGAAGGCTGTCTTGAGCATGCACTCATGTACTCAAATTTTATGCACTAATGTTCAGAATGAAGTTTTATCCAAATTTGAGATGTAAACCTTTTATGGCAGTTATACAAAGCAAAGATAGTTTATGTTGCAATGCACATGTAATGCAGCTCAAACTTTTTATTTCAGAAACATTGGATCATGAATACATCTGTATTCACTGGGTTCACAAAAAATATCACACTATGGTCATACACTGGAGACACGTCACGGTCGAGTATGAGAAGCAGTGCTGAAGCAATTTGGTCCCAGTCATCAAGTAACAGTTGTCTGAAATGCACAAGCAAGCTGTCTGGTTCCCCTCAAAAGCTTTTTTATGGAGCATCTTGGGGACGACTAATCGGTTTGGCACACCCAAAGACGAGCCAAATTTTACGTTGGCTCGTAAATATTAAGCAATAGCCCACACTTCATAGATTACACAGCAAAGGCTGTACAAAGTGCAAGATCTCACTGCATTGTACTACCCCATTCATATTGAGAAATCAGTCACCCTTCCCTTCTACAAGCCTTTCAGCTTCGAAGATCTCGGCAGGCACAGCAAGACAGCCACGATCTTGTACCTGCAACCTTTTGCCTTGGACTCTGATTAATGTAAGCCGATGTGAAGCTTTGCGTGGACATATGTCCTTATATTTGTATGCCAAAGTTAATATTGATGAAGTAAAGTGGCCCTACCACTCAAACTATGACAGGATGTCTTAGAGTTTCAAGAATGACATGCCGGTATATATTGCAGAAAGACCAGCTTCTGGCACATTCGAAGCGGCCTGAAAACTATACAGAAAATATACATCCTGGCACAGCCTGCCTTGTGCAAAATGGTGAGATCTAGATAATGAAACCTGAGTTTTTGGCCCGCATGAATGAACTATGCATTGCAGAAGGCTGGAACTCTGTGAGAATGTGGCGCTAACGGTGGTGATAAAATGTCAAGGTTTGAGTACATGACATTAACTGGATCAAAAGACACAAAAGAAAAGTTATGAGCTGATGTTCACCGAAATCTAATATTCATCAAACTGAAATTTGAGATTGTGGGCGCATGCAGCAATTATGTAAGTGAAAAAACCTGTCAGCAAGAATGAAAACAATATTGTCTTTCTAACTGACAAGATTTTCGCTGAAATAAATGCTACAGGCGCCTCTCGAATATATGATGCAAATTAGGCTTAGGTGGACGTTGGCTCATAGAGAATTTCTTTTCCCTTTTTATCTTTTGATCCAGCTAACGTCATATGCTCAAACTTCCGCATCTTATTACTACCACTAGCGCCCTTATCTCACGGGATGCCTAGTTAATTTATGCAGGTCAAAAAACCTAGTTTCACTTTCTCGATCACACCCAGTACATTAATATATAAAGAAAAATATGTTCACAACGTCAACTCTGCACCAGAGTTTCCTTCTCAAACTCAACAAGAGCAGTAAAGACCATTTCAATGAACACATGACCAACCAGCGCAAGCACAGAATTCAATATTTGGTTGGCCTAGAGCAGGCCTTTGTAATGGAACTCACCAATCCAGAGTTACACTCGCAATCTTCACTACAGTTTGGGTTATGCACCATCTACGTGTAGCGATAAACCACATCTACCTTACGACACTGGATTCAATCAAACATTGTGCGCAGACAGATAACTTGATTCTGTGGCCAGCACAGAGCGTTTCCTGGATGGCTAAACATTTAAACATTCAACAAAATTGTGCCTATCTACCTCCAACTTCTTCAAGCAATGCACATTTTGAACCTGCTCCCTAAATAGATGTTTGAATCTACAAGCACCTTTAAACAAAAACAGTCCAGATGAACCGCACATACAAAAAAATGAGTTACATGTGTACATAATCTCAACAAAAAAACATCATGTGCCAGTTGAAAAATAGCAACATTTAACAGTTCAAGACACAATTAAATCATGAAAACATCATTAGTGCAAATTAAAAGAAAAATGTTGAGGTAAAAAACAGTAAAAATGTTCCCACCACTATTCACAACACACACTATTGCAATAAACATTGAATATGCTTGCTAAGTGAATACAAGTTCACCATTGTGCAATGCACACTACTCCTGGAAGTTAATGGGACATCAGTCATTCAGCGCAGCAGGCAAAGATGACTACCAGGTTGAACTGACCTCACTCATTGCAACTAGCCACTTCAAAAGCATTCTTTACTTGGAGAAGACGGCTTGCCTTTAAGTTTGGCAGTCTGCTTGTACACTTGGCCATTATAGAAAAGCATTATTTCATTACTTCGCACAATGTTTTGTGGATAAAAGTATATTGTGTTTTGAAGATATAAAGGAATGCCTTTGAAATTAGGCCATCGTTCATGGACTCGACTGGAATCTTCAAAGTGCCTGCGGGTATAAGTCACAAGCCCTAGCACCGACACGTAACACACTTGCATAACGCACGTAAGAATTATAATAAATTTTGTAGTAGCAGAGCACACGACATTCACAAAAAGTCTGTTGAATTGTGTGCACATAGTTAATACAGCCGCACTTTGGGAAAGTTGAAGACTTCGTGAGGATGAGAGTTATCAAAGTAGACAAAATCAGCCAACCTCTCAGAAGAAAAATTCAGGTCATGACCACTAACAATCGAGCAAATCCAGTTTATATCAAGATGTGTGCTTGATATACTTAAGTATATCTCCAAATCAATTTGCCGCTCTTGCTTGATTTTGACATAATATATCTAATTACAACATCGAAGAAAAGATTAAACACGTCCAGAAAAAGGAAATCTTTCAGAAATCTCTACAAATGCTTTTACCACACGACCTTTGCATCTGACAATAAAAAGCTTGGCCTGTCGAACCGACGAGGTCTATTACAACACTGAGGTACTTAATATACTCAAAATATTACTACATAGTACTACTCGCGCGCTACAAAATTGCTAGATTTGGACCTCCATACACACAACACACATCGCCAATTATAAAAATGGAAATGCAGGGCTTACACACTCTGGCACAGCATGGGCCCAGATACATTGGTGCCACCCGTACATACAAGGCAGTGCATTTACACACACAGGTGTCGTCGCCGAACAGAGACCCTCTATACACATGGTACAGACTCGCATATTTCAGCAGGAAACTGTGGTTTCGGACAGTCACAACAGGTTTGCTTGTGCGCGATACATAAGCAGGGGCTATAGTAGGATCTGATAAAAAATGTGGCAAGACGGCGGCTTTGTTGCCACCGTCCTGAAAATGCATTAAGTCTTTTGTTCCGGAAAATCTTCTCCCCCGCCTATACAACGACCCTGCTCAAAAACGCAAACAGCCAAAGAAATACCAAACTTCTCTTCGAGACGGTCGCCGCAAGACCACGGCCCAAAACGATGACGAGTGGGTGGCCCGGCGGAAACGAATACGTTGTTCACACAATCTCAACGACTCCTCTTTTTTCCTAACCGTGCAACAGAGCCTTCTACTCCTACCGAGCTGTGGTGTGGTGCGCTCATCGCAAGCGGTGTCGAGCGATCACGGCGCACTTCGTCACACACAAACGCAAATGTGCATACCAGCATCAATGGCAACGACGACGATGCAAAAAGATGGCGACGTGGCGGGCAACTCAGTTCGGAAAGGAACTGATCTCCACAAAGTCGTCGTCCCTCGCCAACAGGTGCCCCTGCTTGGTCTTCTCGGCCCTGTACCCGGTGAGGTTGTTGAAGAGCACGGTGAAGCTGGAGCCCAGCAGAGAGGCCTTGAACCCGGAAGAGCGCGGCCGCGCGTCGTCCAACCCGCAGTGCACCGAGAGGTCGTCGTAGTCCGAGCTTGACATCCTGCTCTGCCGCTGCGTCTCCTGATGGTACTGCTGCGTCTCCAGCGAGGCCCGCGTCGGCTTGCGGAACCTTGGCAGCCATTTTAGGTGGCGTGTGGGGGCGGAAAAGTGTATGATGAGGAGGTGCGGAAACCAAGACGGCAACACTGTTTTGTCCATGTGTGCAATGTTGCCGTGACATTGCAATAAATTTAATGATGCATTAAACCAAAGGCTTAAGGCCATTGTACATAGGGGGGTATAGAACAGCTGCCTGCACACAATCGAATCTGAAAGACTATGCTGATACAGAGTAGACAACAAATACCTATTCAATTTCAGCAAGTCTGCAAACTGGCACATAAACACCGCCTTCAGTTTACAATTACTTTATACTCGATTCTGGGGAAGTGGCATTTGTATACTCCGTATCGTACCCAAAGTGCACAGCGCTGCCAATGTTGCTGGCAAGAGCCTATGTTCAAACTTAACGCTTGATTTGCATGAGCTCTTGTGGAAATGAAGACACTGGACGCTCGGGCTGATGCCCCATGCTTATGTTAGTAGCTCTGACAGAGGTGAACACGAAGTATGAAACAGAGTAGTATGCTTCTGTTGCTTGCACGGAAGCATTGTGGAGTTCTTCGTGACTGCCACTGAACGGCACCCTTTTTTAAAGAGGGTCTATATTACACCAAGATGGAAACTCGTCTTCAAAAAAGATGTAAGCAAAAAGAGTCTCACCTCCTGAGCAAGAGGGAGGAGCAGACGACCGACACTGAAGACATGGCCATGGCAGCCGAACCCATCCAAGGCTTCAGCACGATACCGAACGGCATGAACACCCCTGCAAGTAAACCGGCACGGCAACTTTGTAGCACTGCCCTGCCTTTGCTTGAGAACAAACTTCTAAGCCTATGTTTGACAAAAAAAACTTCTAAGACTTTGTTTGACAAAAAACCTTCTAAGCCTTTGTTTGAGAACAAACTTTAGGTCACAGCACTTCCCAATCACCCCTACCCCTGAGTGCAAGTCTGAAACAATTTAAGTGCGAGTTTGGTGCATCTGATCCATGCATAACTAGAACATAGCGAAACACACCCTATCCTCCATCCGCTCCTGGTAAGAGCTACACGCTTGCTGTGCTGAAACAATCAATCACCTCCATTTCATTGCCTGACCCCGCTCCTCACACATAGCCATGGGCAAGAGTGCTCACATGATGAAAGGTAGACGTATGACTGGTCCAGCGAGTACATACCTGTCGCTGCACTGTTAGCTTAGGGGGGATTGAAGTAGGACGTACCGTATTTGCACGAATATAACGCAAGTTTTTTTCGAAATTACGTGCTCCCAAACGCACCTCGCGTTATATTCGGAATCGAGTTCAGCCACGAGGTACGCGAGTCTGGAGAAAGCCAGAGGAGAAAGTCATCCCTCAGGCTCAATGCAAAAGATCCGGTGGGAAAAGAAGTGGGGGTGTGGAAGGGAATTTATTAGATATTGGGCCACGTGAAGGGGCGAAAAGAAAACATAAAAAAGCATTTTTATTGCTTTTGTGTGTTTACAACGCGGGCGCGCGCGCCATGCGGGAATGCAGGCACCGGCCAATTCGAGCCAAGCCAAGCCGGGCAAAGTCAAACACAAGCCAAGCCAAGACCACCGACTGCGTTTACGCAATCACTGCGTTTACGCAATCGTGCAACACGAGGCATTTGTTTATGCAGAGGGACCAGAACAAGAAGTGTGATCGTGTATCGAATTCAGCAGTCTTTTTTTTTTTTCTGCCTGCGCATTGTTTAGTTTCTGCTCCAGAGTGGTCTGGTGTTTGTGTGTTGGTGCTTCTGCTTCGTGCCTTGTTTGGATTGTGGGCTGCCGACTGAGCTCGCAGGGGAGAAAAAAGAACTACCAGACAAGCAGGTGCCGTGCTGCTGCTTATTTGTGTAGTCGCCAAGTGGATTGTAAACAGAGGGACCTGAGCAGTGAGGATGAGCGCAGTCAAAACAGAAACTGATATTTCTTCTAGTATTTCCATTGACTTTTCACTTCTGCTATGCCCCCGAGTGCAAGAAATTAACGTGGCCTCGGCTCGCGTTATAATAGTAATAATAATTTTTTTTCTTTTTGGGGGCATCAAAACCTGCCCTCGCGTTATATTCGTGGTCGCGTTATATTCGTGCAAATACGGTATACGTGATTGCTGAAAAGGGCCATGGGCATTCCTCGAGTCCCAAAGATTAGACGTGTGAAAATGCCTATTGTCCAAGTCCAAACTTTTAAATTTTATTCACCTGCTGCCAGTGGAATTCCAACGAGGTTGTAGATGGTAGCAAAGAAGAAGTTGCGGTGAATCTTCTGGACTGTTGCCTTGGAGAGCGCAATCGCTCCCACCACGTCCAGCAGGTCATTCTGAGAAGGAGGTTAGAAGAAATGAATCTTTATCTGTTCATTTTGTTGCCCAATACATTCATCACACTGTCGCAGGAATACAAAACAATGAATAAAAAGAAACCGCCATAATTTTGGAATGGAGCAACTTTTCTGTTTCACACTCAAACGAAACCAAGGGACGTTTTAATGCTAGATAAACTTTACTGGCAGTCAAACTCCAATTTGAAAAACCAAAAGTTAAACAAAACAGTTAACACTTATTCCCCCCTTTTTTTCTGTGGTAAATTATGGCCTAAAAAACCTTGCAGACAAATATGGACAAAAAAAAAAGTAATGACACCTCTTCTCTACTCTTCTAGCACGTTCTCTCTCGCACAAATGCATTAATGCTATAGAGGATATTCACTGGACACCATATTTGAGGGCGATGTTTAGAGCGCGTGCTCAGAGCTAAGAGCGGCAATCCTGATGGTGCGGAATGCACGTTGCAAGAGAACTGTGGAACCTCACTGTCAGCATGCGCTCATCGGTTGTGCGCACAGCTATGGCTGCCTGTGAATACTCCCCATACTTCCTTTCAACTTGTATCCAGATGCAGCCGACACTACGAGCTGATGGGACCAATCAGACAGCGTCAAAAGCGTACCATCACGGCGTTCGCCATGTTTCTGTACGTGTTCAATCGTCGTGGCTGAACCAATCATTAAACAAAAATGCCCAACGACTTGTGCTTTTGACGCTGCCTTGATTGCTCCCATTACCACGTAGTGTCGGCTGCTTCTGGACTTCAGCTAAAACTAAGTATAGCACCGCCCGGGCTGTTTCAAGGTAGCAGGCGGCATTTTTAAAAGGATGTCATTACTTTTGTTTATGAGGTTTAGTTTGTTTCGCCTCCCGTCACCTCTTGTCAGTGAGAAACGAAACCCTCGAAAAGGGTTCCCTTGTGCGGCTCGTCAACACCTGGGCATGCAAATTCCACACACTATCACCAAGCTGTGTGTTCATGTGTTCCGTTTCCCTTTGGCCGCTGCTGTATCAATCCAGAAAAGAGGTAGGTGTGTTCAAATAGTAGCTTGGATTGAAGAGCACATCATTATTTATAGCACTTGTAGGGACAACAGAGTCAGGACAGCACTTTTTCTATTCATATTTGCCTAAAACAAACATCTGCCCATCTCTTTGGGTACTTTGGGTCCCAAAGGCACTTTAAATGCCTAGCATTTATAGGTCCTTTGTGATGTCACAGTGTCATGTAACGTCATAATGTCATGTGACATCAGTGCGATGTGACAATAATGTCATGTAAACGATTCTCTCTTAGAACTCATTACCGTAACAGCACCACAGTCAGACACCAACCATTGTAAACACCAAAAAATCATTGTAAAAAAAAGAAAAAAAATCAGTTGGTTGCGCTTAGAGAGCCTAGCAATGACTAAAATAGGTTATAACTAGGATTCCGAGTTTTCTGAGATTATTTTTCGTCAAATCGGAGGGTGTTTTTCGGAGTTTATTCTTTTCAGAAAATTCAGAGTTTATCGGAGTTTATATTTGTTTGATTCTCAATTCACCAAAATTCCGAGTTTAATCTCACACTGTTTTCTACTCAAAATAAATAAATAAATAATATCTGAGTGCAAATGTATGCTAGATAAAAAAAATAAATGCGCTTGTGTCAATTAATATTTCTTCAGCTGAATTTGGCAATGGTACCATTGCCATTGGCAATACTAATCTGTCAAATGTCAAAAGCTGTACACAAGTGTCGCTTCGATAAACGTCGATACCTTCAAATCAATAGACTCCTGAAGGTAGTCGCTGGGAAGCTCGTATTCACCCCATCCTATTCCATTCACCTACCCCGCGGCCGCACAAGGTGCAGTGGTGAAGGATGTAATAGAGAAGCTTCAATTGCCTCTCTTCCCTATTTTATGCAATCTCTATGGTCCATAGCTTTCACTCTTACAAAAACAACCTCTCCTTCCTCTGAAACACAGATAGTATGCCCCAAACTAGAAACCAAAACAGGGGGTTTTGTCGTAACCAAAAAAATACAATGACCTGTCGTCCTGAATAAACCGTGACGAGATAAGCGGTAAGACCCCTTCAGAAATGGTCCGAGATTTGAAAGATAACTGCGGTGGCATTTCCCAGGATCACTGACCCTGTGCACTGATCAAACTTAATTGACTGAGATTTTACTGCTTTACTGGCGGGCGTTTTTCAGTTTGTTGAGATTTATCCGAAAGCACAGAACCCTAGTTAAGACAGACCTTGATAGTGACCAAGAATTCAGCCTGTCAGAAAAGGAGTATATTGCATGCAGATACGAAGTTGAACCAATGGTACAGATAGGAAAACTAACCGATCTCCAGAAAGCAGTATGTTATGTCCAAATATCTGTTGTAATGTGTTTATACTGTATTTACAAAATTGCATAGGGGAAGCAAATTGGCTTAATAGGGTTAAGGAAGGAATCATACTTTTTGTTTTTAGTTTCTAGGCTAGGTGGTGCACGCTACCACCTGTTATAAAGGGTACAGCTGTTAGCATTCATCCATCCATCGGGGCGGGGGGCAGAAATTACGCGACCACTCACGTATCCTCTAGAAGGAGAAAATGTGGGCTGTGCGTGGACTGAAGAGTGCAAAAGGCAAACAAGTCGCGATTTATTCATCCATTGCTCTCCTGTCTTAAATGAGAAATTTAGCCATTGCAGTACGACTGCTGGTCTAGGGTACACCATGCAGTAGTGATACACGACTGCACGGTGCTACGATGTTCCAGGTTGAGATGAGCAGGGGCAGGGAAAGCCCAATGTTTCCGTCGAGGCTACATCCCAGGTGCGGGCACAAAAAACCCCAAAAGCTGGCCCTCGTGCAGAGCGCGCCGAAACGCGCATGGACAGCAACAAGAACAGCGTACCCGAACGAGCACCACGTCAGCCGCCTCCACGGCCACGTCTGTGCCATTGGCGATGGCGATGCCAATGTCTGCCTGCGCCAGCGCCGGCGAGTCGTTGACGCCGTCACCCACCATGGCGACGCGCCGCCCCTGCTCCTGAAGCTGCTGGATCTTCATCACCTTGTGCGAGGGCAGCACTTCCGAGTACACGTGCTTGATGCCCACCTGGAATCGAGGGTCAAAAGTTCATTTTCCAAGTGCAACTCCACTCAGTTCTAAATTACTTCAAGGTAAAGGGGGATCCTGGTTTGAATCCCAACACATACGAGGTAAAATAGAGCAAACAATAAAAACGCTTTCCGGAGAGGTCAAGCTTGCAACGTACAACGCGGAAGCACGCAATCGGTCCCCACCCGAGGTGTGCGACGCAATTGGCGAGCGATTGCCGAACGAGGTTCTTTGTGAAGAGCAAGATTTCATTGGGCAACGCCGACAACATGTTTTGGAAATGTGGCAGCGGTGACGACAGAAACGAGAGCACCAGTACAGACCAAAGACTGAGCAAAAACGACGGGGAAGAGTTTCAGTTGCCTCGCCTCCGGCGCAAGCTTCCTAACTTGGATGCGTCACGATGAACACACATTTTTGCACACACCCCATGGCACAAGCTTCTAATGGACACATTCGACTCCCGCCAAAGCTAAATTCGACAAAATGCCCAACGTCTGGCAGCAGAATTCACGGTTCTTTCGTTCCTCGGAAACGGGGCTGTGGTCGCCCACAGAATGAGAATGGCGGGGAGTCTGTTTTGGATGCCTGGCCGTCGGCATGTGCTCGTTGCTTTCCTAGGTGCTTCGGCTGTGCGTGCATGCTCGAGGCTCGCAAGGCGCCGAAGCATCATGAAAGGCAGACAGCTCGCGCTGGTGGTGGGCTGAAAGGCTTCCCGGCCGTTTGCATCCTGCCGGCAACAATGAGGGACCGCAAACCGCAAAATGCTCCAGAAAGGTTACTTGCTCACCTCTCGGGCGACGGCGGCAGCAGTCTTCTTGTTGTCCCCCGTAAGCAGGATCACTTCGTGGCCCATCTTCTTCAGGGTGTAGACGGTGAGGCGGGCCTCAGGTTTCACCGTGTCTGCCACGGCCAGCATGCACACCAGGATGCCTGTGGCAACGTAGAGCACATTGGCGCACATGCGTGCAACACTCTCGCTATATACCCGGTTGTAAAACTAAGAAGAACTTGCAAAAACAAGATTGACATACAGTTAAGCATTTCTTGTTTTATTCAAAGAAATCTTGGTCTTATCTTTCACCAAACTACATGTTAGGCTCTTCGCGGCAAATATGTTACGCCGCAACCATTCAATGGGCAAATATTCGGCCAAACTCATTATTCGCTTTGAAGTCAGAATTCCCTATGCACACGTGCTTACCGTTTTGCACAGACGCAAATAAGAAAAATAAAGATTGATTGGTAGTTATTCACGAACAAACTCATCCCCACGCACTCGCACATGATGCTTCGACAAACCGCGGGCGCAAAAAGGTCGTGCCGGATGGTTGTGCAGGAAAGAGCACAGCGCGCGAGACGAGTATTGACCGAAGCTTCTTGACACGGACCTGGAGGAGTGTTGCGACCTGCGGTGCATCAGCTGGAAACAGTTCCTACAGCTTTCTTCACGTGCGGAACCAAGAATCGTGCAACAAAGCGAACCAGCGAATGGACAGAACAAACGAAAAGAAATAATGCGCCATCTTTGCTTTGCTTGTCAAAAAAAAAAAAGAAAAAAAGGTGTCGTTGCCAGACCAGACAAAATGTTTTACAAGTCAATCCCCGTCGAAAATCAGTGAAAAGTGCAGACAGAAAAAGCCAAGCGCCAATTCACTCGCAGATTTTTTATTTCAAACATGTTTAGTCTTGCAATTTTCTTTTTTAACGAGCAACACAAAGATTGTTTGTGTCATTGTGCTATGTTCTGTTTCTGTTCGTTCGCTGGTCTGTGTTGGTCGCGCGGTTTTTGGTTTCGCACAAACTGCATGTGAGAGAAGCTGCAAGAACTTCACTCAGCTGACGCACACCAGGTTCCGATATTCCTCCAGGTCAGTGTAATGAAGCTTCAGTCAAAACTCGTCTAGTACACCGCCATCTCCCCTGCACGTGTTCTACAGCATGTTACCCAGCGAGGCCTCTTTTGCGGCTTTGGTGTACTGAAGCATCGTGCACGATTACGCGGGGATAAACCAACGAGGACATTGGTAAATGCCCCTCCGCAAGAACAGGGCTCCTCGCTTGCCCGTGTTTCAGTCAGCCAATGCACCGGTTGAAAATTACAAACTTTTTCCGAACGTATACGAGTTCGCACCGACGAATGCTTACAAACCTTCTCAGAACGTATTTGACATCACGCATACAAACTTTTATGACATGTTTATTAAGTTTACACCTACGGACGTTTACAAACTTTTTCGGGGCCGATTTGAGTTCACTCCTACGACTGTTTGCGTAAAATGAACTGTTTTGTGACAGTTGTTGTCTGTCTTAATTCTAGCACCCCCCAAACGATGTTCTCGTTCCTTACGTTTTCCCGGATCATACGTTTCATTTCTCCAGTCCCACGGAGAACGTATCACCGAGGTCCTACTGTACCATCAATTGATCCACCAACTGGAGGCAAGATTGTCACTGGCGGGCCACCTGCGAGCTCACTCGTACGCCGACCATACGTCAGCGAGTCTCGGTTGTGACGCGACTCCCCAACGACGTGCCTTCTCAGTCATTGGCCAGCTCCTGCACGGGCCAAGGACAGACTAATCGAGCGATCGACGAAGCGAAACAGTCTTCCTCACCGTCGATCGTGCAGAGCACGGCCGTCTGCCCCTTCTCCTCGTGCTGCTCCATGATGGCATCCACCTGGGAGTTGACGACGACGCCGTTGCGGTGCATCCACTCCCGGTTGCCAATCAGCACGACGCTGTTGCCAGACGATCGCCTGTCTCCTGCAAACATGGGTTGGGTTGCGCACTTGAGGATCGTTTGCACATTTGCTTTTGGGCATTGTCGTTTGCACCGCAACTACTTTTGACCCCTTATGACGGAATAACCCACTGACATACTGACAACATTTATTTAGTAGAGCCGTGCGACGCTCCTGATCTGCGTATACAGTCGCCGACCGATTTTTCGGACTTCGCAGGGATCGATAAAATGTCCGAATAACGGAGTAGTTAGAAAAATCAGCAGATTAAAAAACCTGCCTTTATTACATCTAAGCGGGCTTAAAGAAGCCACCAATAGTGCCTTGCTTCATTTACGAGGCCTCCGCTTGCATTCGGCCATTTGCTATTAGCTTGAGAATCGCAGCCTCCATTTCTAGCGTTGTGGTAGAGTACTTTCTGAGCTCCTTAGCGACACTTTGCGGCGGCGGAAGAACAGAAGGGGGCAATGACACACAAGCCAGCTTACTCTGAAAACATAATTCACCGAGACGAGATGAGAAGCGCAAGTCCACGACTGCAGAACGGCAAATAAACAAAGAAAAAGTGTAACAATGATGATGATAATGACGCACAGCTAGAGAAAGAAAAAAACCGTAGCATAGCGTCACCTAGCACTAGGTGACGCTACTCAAGTAGCGCTGCCAAACCGAGCCAATCCATATGCAGCCAACACAGAATCTAAAATGGTGGCTTCTCTATGGTGTTTCAGCCAATCACTCACGATGATTTCGTCCGAAAAACTGAACTTTCGGACTGTTCGAAACATCAGGTGTGCACGTACACTATTTCTGTTAGGTAGGTCATCATTCCCCCTTTAGGTCCGAAAAATCAATAAAGTTTGAATTATCCGCGTCTGAGAAATCGGTCGGCGACTGCATATTTCCCCATCTTTTGTGCGTCATTCTTTTATTGATAGCATGAAATAATTCCGACAACGTTCTAAGCGACCATTTCTTTTAAAGGGTACATAGATTCAATCTCGCAAACACCGCAAAACCTTCAGTCCAGTTATACAAAGGTCGGAAGAGTCCCAGGGTTACCCAACGCACGGTGGCAGTATGCAAACATTTTCACGTCGTAAGCGGTCACTACCAGGCACGACGCTTGCACGAGCAACGAGACTAACGCGCTAAATCAGACAGCGAAACGGGTCCTACCCGACCCGTCAGTGACTTGCACCAAGGAAGGTGGCTGCAGCGTGGAGCCGTCGTCTCCCCTCTCGGGAAACAGCATAACACGATCGATGAAGACCTCTTCCGTGCCGGAACCGGTGCCCCTGTATCCCGTCGACGGGGGTCGTAGGCCCTTGGTGACCAAGCTCTCCGTGTCTTTGGTCCTCTGGAGCACTGCGTCGACTCCGGAGATGCGGCAACGCAGGCCGCAGCCTGGAACGGCCGCAAAGTCCTCGCACTTCCCCAGAGTTTCCGTTTCGAGGATCTGCGATCGACGCAAAGGAAGCACTCTAGTGTTGCGGTGCGACAATGGATGCATCGCCTTGTAGATCATCATCATCGCACCATGACTTCACTCCGGGAATTTAGTGTTGTAATTTGACAGCAGATGGCACCACTTTGTCAGCACTCGTGGTTTTTATCAACATCAGTAATGCCACATGATGTACAGTACGATCATTACAATGTGCTTTAGCGTTGTGGTGTGACAGCAGATGCATCAACGTTATACAGTCAAATACCTTTATAAAGAACGCCTCTATTACGAAAACGCCCGTTTAAAGAAGTAAAATAAAAGTTCTAGCACTGACCACCACAACGAATTTCTGTTTAACAAAGGTTTCTGTTTAACGAAGCAATTGTGCAGCCCTACAAACCAAAAATGACCGGTATTGCAAATTTTCTAGGTAAAAAGTAATCAATCTTACCGCGGCAGCAGCAGCAGGGCAACGGCGGAAGATGCAGTGCAACGTGCATAATGTCACAATTAGCTAAATTTCAAATTTCCATTTTAAGTACTACATGTATTCATTCACCTGGTTTTTTAAAATTTAATACAACATTCATTTCTGCATTTAAATGGTTATTTAGGTTTATTTACTTCGTTTTTCTTCATTTGTAATTTCTCTAGTCTTCCGGTCCCTAGTAACTGCGAGAGATCGCTAATCCGGCCCCTTAGCCAAAAAGTTTGGTGACCCCTAGTGTGAATAATTTGTTAGTATGACACCTTGTGCCTAGATGGCGCTACGTGACTAACTTGCTGCATAGAGAGCCTAGATTGAAGAGGGTCCATTTAAGCAGACGGAAAGGCGGACTCGAGCGGACACGCTCACATACGATCTACCGATCAATGCGTTCGTAACCTCCTTGCAGTATGTATTGCAAATGCGACCCATAACCCCCGTGGCTCCGGTTGAGCAGCTGTGAGCTCTCTGTGATACAGGCTCTCTACGACTGCGAAATGCCCGCGTGCGCTCAAGGATTCTTTCTTTTCGCCCACGCCGGCGAGCATGCGCCCCCTGTGCTCCAAGACAGGCTCGCACCGTCTTCCCAAGCCGAAACGCCAAAAAGATTGCGATGAAAAGCCGGTAGACCGGCGACAGCTTTCGTCAGCAGAAAGATTGCAGAGAGGTTGTACAGAAAGAAACACACCCTCCCTTCTTTGTTCCGGACAGATGTGAAAAAGAGCTCGGTCGGCTCGGTTGTACGGCTCTCCCCGTCCTCACCCCTCGCCGCGCCTCGCGCTGCAGGTGTCGCGTGCCGAGCACGGGGCGGATTCTGCTGTGCCGCCACTGCAGAGCAGCGCAGCCGCTTCGAGAGCCCGATTGGCAGCATGAGCCGCCACCCGATATATAAAAGGACTCATTTACGCAGTAGGCGAACGCCTCTCATTCGCTGCGCGATCGCGGGTCAATGTTGGTGGTTTAGTAATTTCCAAATGTCAGCCAAGTTTGTTGTATGGAAATCTGGACAGCGCGAAATTAGTCTGCAGCAAGGAGCACCTGGTCTCTCGGCTGTAGATGACGAATTTTCGCCGGTGGCGGTACGACAGCTAGCCTGGTATCCTTAAATTGTATCGTGCAGTGGTGAGCACGGGAAAATGTGCGAATACAATTTTCATATAGAGAAAAAAAAAAAAGTGGTAATCGAGCCCAAGATGCCTGGATTCTGCAGCACAAGCTTTCGTCCCACGTACACTGAGCTGTGATGTGCCAGCAGACTCTGCCACCGTTTCCCTTTTCAAAACCTTGTTTCTGATGTCACTCATACTATACTTGGCATTCTACTGTTTCCTAATACACCTTGAATGTTCTGGAGATACGTCAATATGCGATAGCACAAATGCAGTTTCGTGCGATCGATTTTTTGAGCTCAACCACAACAACAAAGATATCTGTACTACGAAAAATTCAGCCAGCGGACTTTGTTATAAAGGTGTTTGACATTGCTATCACTTCTCTCCAGGAATTTAGTATTGTGATGTGACAACAGGAAGCTCCATCCTCGCTAGCAATCATGATTATTATCATTGGTATCAGCACACGACGTACAGGTGATTGTTAGGATGTACTTTAGCATTGTGAAATGACAGCTAATGGCACCAACATTAGAAGAGTTGAGACAGGTAGCCACAAGGCGGCTTAAGAGGAGTGTTGGGGAACCAACTCCAGAATATTGGTCGATACCATCAGTGCTAAGGTGAAGGTTAAAAGTTGTGTCGACACGCAGAGGCAAAAAAAAAATTTCTCGAGTATTGAAAATGGGTTTCCAGCAAAATTTCAAGAATTAAGCTCGCAGTCTATTATTCAAACATTCAACCAAGTGGAAAAGGTTCAATCTCACTTCAGAGAACTTGAGGAAAACTTGCACAATTGTCGACTTACCTTCCGGACAAACTTGGTGATTGCCACGCCAATGGGATGCTCGCTGTTCGCCTCCGCCGTCCCCACCAGAGCCAGCATCTTGGAGAGCGAGCAGATGTTGTTCTCCACAAACAGTGCGATGCGGGTCACCACAGGAACCCCGTTGGTGATGGTGCCGGTCTTGTCGAACACAATGCATTTCACCTGGAAGCAGTTCATTGCGTGTTGCTAAAAAAGCGGTGCCAGTCCACGAGTCTTTCTCCACAGTCCCGTCTGCTGCAATCATGTTTTTTTCGCAAGTTTGGGTCACTGTTAAAGGAGCACTAAAGTACTTTTTGAGATCCTCGTTCAGTGGTCATAACTCAATCTACAAGCTTTAAGCATCCTAAAAAACCTAAAACTTAAATTCATGCGCGGCCGGTTTGTGTGTATTAAAAAGAGATCAAGGATCCCGACACTTACCGATGGCGCAGAACAACAGATGGCGCTACCAAACCTTGCTGATAATGGTTGAACGACGGACAGTGCTTGTCAGTCACTCGTGAGCGATGGGTTCCCGCATGAACCAGTCCCGCTCATCCAAGCGGGAACTCACCGCTTGCGAGTGACTGACAAGAACCATCCCGTCATTCAACCATATTCAGCAAGGTTGGGTAGCGCCACCTGTCGTTCTGCAGCAACGGTAAGTGTCGGGAACTTCTACAACTTTCTTACTATGCAAACCGGCCACATATGAATGTAATCTTGTTTTTTAGGATGCTTGGTGCTCGTAGACTGAGTTATGACAATAAAACAGGGATCTCAGAAAGCCCTTTAGTGCCCCTTTAAGGGAGCAGGCAGTGCAAGTCAGACAACAAGAATCAGGATTTATAATCCTCAACTTACACTTCGACATAGGTACTACTCACGACGAAGGTCTACACTACCGCGACAGACCTCAAGGAAGAGCCAATAAATTTTCACTCAAGCCGCGCCGCACGAAGAACATATCTGCCCCTGTCTAAAAATGTTTCCCGTCGTCACCCTCCGTTTAGTGGTTTAAGGTAACTGCCGGATCTTGCAAACGACCTTCTCATTGTGGGGCTCTAGGAAAAAAAAAAATGCACGGGGCATGCAATCACCTTGTGCAGCAGTTCGAGTGGCTCCCCGCCCTTGATGAGGATCCCGAGGCTGGCGCCCACCCCCGTGCCCACCATCACCGCCGTCGGGGTGGCTAGCCCCAGAGAGCAGGGGCAGGCAATGGAGAGCACAGTCAGGGCGCACTGGAACGCAAACTGGCAGATGAGCTCGCTGTCCGACGAGTGGTGGTCCTGCGGGAAACAAACAAACGAGGCTGACTCGTGGAAGGCGACACACGGGACGTGACGCGAGAACAGTGGCACGCAGAAGGTGAACCGAGAAAGGTAACACGAGAAGGTGACACGCAGGAGGTGACACACGAAAGGTGAGATGTGGAAGGTGACACACGGAAGGTGACATATGAAAGACGACAGGTGGAAGGCGACAGGTGGAAGGGCCCCTCTGGAAGCAGAGCTCCAACACTGAGCCAATCTATGAGCAATGATGCCGGTAAAACTAAAGCGCTGGATATTTTTTCATCCAAACACCACCATTGATCGATTGTGCCACAAGCAGTTTTAGTTGTTGCTGGTGAAGCATTGCCATTCTTCGCTCGCGGCGCACCCCATGTGCCAACGTGCACGTTTCTATTGGTCTACTCACTGCAGGTGCCGCGCCGCCGACAACACACAACTTTTGCAAAGACGCTTCGCCATTTTTTCGGCTCAAACATGTCCCGTCATGCACCAGCTTGGCGACACTTGCCAAGTCAATGCAGAGCGCAATTTCGTCTCCTTCTTGCACGGGGGTTGCGAAGACGTCAGAACGCCAAGGTCTTACTGGTTGATCGGGAAAAAATAGTGAGTAGACCTCAAGGCATCTATCTAGCATTGAGGTCTACCCACTATCCTTTCAATCAAAGCCAATCAAAACCTGGCATTGTTCTGACGTCACTGAAACTCCTGCGCAAAAAGCAGACGACTCGCTCTCCGCATAGAATTTTATCCAGCACCTCAACTACGTTTCGTTGCTAGCACCTTCTGGAAGACCACGAATACGTCGACCAATCGAATACCTCCGAGGAATCAAAGCGCCTCCGTACCTGTCTCGGGAAGAAGGCGGTGATGTTGTCCACGTTGTGGAATCCCACGAGGACCCAGATGCCCAGCGTGAGCAGCGACACGAGGACCACGCCAGGCACAAAGTAGCCGGCCAACCGGTCCGCCAACTGCTGAATGGGCGCCTGGAAAACGGCCACAATTCATTCGCACACAGCGAAACGCCCGTACAAAACCCATTGATCCTGTAAACCGAGGGTTCTCACACTTTCAGTCGTAAGGAACCCCTACCTGCTTCGAATGGCAGCAGAGGAACCTCTACTGGTCTTTGCGATGGTGCCGTTCAGTGCAGAAGCCTAAAGACCTTGTAAACCATAATGCACATATTGTAGTCGCTGACTAGGTGAAAAAGGCTGGGAGCAGCTTCAGTTGTCCTGCCTCCAGCACACTCTCCACGCCTTCCACTGTGCTTCAGCGTCTTGCACGCCTCGAGTGAGCACACAGGGTCAAAGCACAGCATAAGGCGTGGCGCGCGTGCCACAGGTCGGGTGTTCAAAAGACGTGCCTCGCTGATCTCACTCTCTCAGTGATTAGAGATAGTGTTTGGCCCATAGTCATGCATGCGTTAGTGGGTAGCTCACACGCACTAAACAAAGAAATTAAACTCGGAAAAGACTTCACCCGGGGGCAGAGACGGCCGAGAAAATTTGGGACCCCGAGGAACCCATGACGGTAGTTTGGGGAACACCCGAGGTCTTAGGAATCCGATTTGAGAAGCCACGCTGTAGACTGTGGCCATTGTACAAGTCGAAATGGGGACTCTCAAACTCTTTGGTCTCGAGGAACGCCTTCTTTGTTGATAAGTGAGAAACCCCTTATGATCGCAGCACTGATGCAGTATAGCAAAACAGAAGCCTGTGGGCCTTGTAAACGATAATGCTTACACTAGAGAATTTTTTACATGGAGTAACGCGTGAATGGATGGCTCAGATCTTCTGAAACAATGCTCCAACTTGAGGGATTTCCCTTGATGCTACCCATCTTGGGGAATGACGGAGCACACTGGTTCAACAACACGTAGACATTTAATGACCATTATCGCCCGCGCCACGATCCCAAAAGCGACCACGCATACGCTGCGACGCCCTCTTATCGGCAGCGGAGCGCCGCTCATGTGGCCAGTTGCACTTGGCCCCCTCCCGGTAGAAATGACCACTGACGATTTGGCAGATGGGAAACCTGGGTCAATGCTTTGGAGCCCCATATTGCTCACAAACTATAAGAATGTTTTACTTGGGGGGGTGGGTATCAAAGCAGCTGTAAGTCTCAGAAAAGATCCACCAACAAAAACCTTGATCCTATGTACTGTATTTCCCAAACTATTGTCCGCAAACTGCACGTTTGAAAGTTAAAATTTTGCGTGGTGCGGACTCTACAGGAATTTTGTCTTTTAAGATTGTTCATTATGACGAAATGCGACATACCTTGTGAATAAAGGAGTAGTGCGTTAATGATGAGTTATGTATTATACAAGCTTCTTTATGAGCTAAGAAAGCAGATATTTGTCAAGGTGTGCCGTGTATGAGAAGAATTTCATGTTGACTAAGCACCAGGTGCATGCACAGTATGCACTGGGTGCGGACTATCTGAGCAAGAACTTTTATTTTTTACCCCGATTTGCCCTTGCGGACGGACTATACACCGGGTGCAGAACATGGTCAGGAAAATACAGTATAAAGCCATAAATATACAAAACACTTTTCAAAATAAATTTAGCGGATGGTCATCACATGACATATCAAAGTGTCATGTGATGTCACGGGACATGAAATGTCGCATCATGTCATGTTACACCGCAACATTACATACACACCTCTTATGCAAACTCTTTGCCCGACCACACAGTCGCGGCCAACAATTTTGGTACTTTTAGAGAGCTGCTAAGCAAATATATGGCATCTGCGCAGTTGTAATGCTACTAAACAATAACACGTTACTAGTATCTTTTTTTAGCTATAAATTTTGTTTGTTTCAATGTATGCCTACATTGTTCTTGAGTGTATAATGTTGGTCGTTCTCGAGTACACTTGTAACCTTTTTTTATGACCAAAATTTTCAGCAGCCCATCCCCTGAGTAGGACCTTCAAGGTATATATATAAATAAATAAATAAATAAATACTGGTTATGTGATCACATAACTACAGCTTCGATTTCTGGTGAGGGACAGAGTGTTTTTTGTGAAGAAACCTGGCCATGTTAGAAGTGAAAGTATACCAGTGAGCTGGAGACACAGAGTAATGAAATAATGTTGCTTTGTTTGTTCTTTTATCTCTCCGCGTCTCAGGGTCTAGATCATGAAGTGGCCACAACATGTTCTCGCAACAACATATTGTGATGCTCCATGCTCAGAAACCAGCCGACGACATACCTTGGAGGTCTGCGCCTCCTCGACAAGCTTGACGATCTGCGCCAGGGTTGTATCCTTGCCCACGTGGGTGGCCACCACAAGGAGCACCCCGTTGGTGTTGATGGAGCCACCAATCACCTGCGAGCCCACCTTCTTGGGCACCGGCAGCGACTCCCCCGTGATCAGCGCCTCGTCCACCATCGAGCTACCGAAGCAGACCCGGCCGTCCACGGGGATCTTCTCGCCGGGGATCACCTGAGGTGGGAAAATAAAGAAGACGGAAGAAAGTTACCATACGTGCTCCACTCACTAGAATATTGCAATCTTTTAAAAATAAGGGCACTCCATTTATCTACCGCCCAAATGTATCGTATGCAGAATGCGTGAGCCATATATATACGCGAGATCACGGTGTCGAGTCATGGCGTCACGGGACGCCGTGTCACGTGATGCGGCATGAGGTTGTGTTACTTGACACTCGACGCAAGTGGCCGTGACTTGGCACTCAACAATGCTAGATCTAACAACACTGCTGACACCGTGACACCATGACTTCACACGAGTCGTGTGACACCACGATGGGGCAACGTGACATCACATGACATGATAGGAGATTCTCTTGGTGGACTTGCAGTGGTTTGAAAAAGCTTTTTTTGTTAATATCTTGTGCGTGCAAGCACGCATACCCTCATAAAAGGCGCAAGCATGAAGGGCTTTTGGATCGCTTCAAATCCACAGAAGGACTTTGTCACAACACGTCACATAGTCACATTACCTGTAGTGGCATTTGCGTGATGCACAGTGGTACCAACCGCACGACCACATAACCAATAGTAGAATCCCGCCAAATGTAGCAGGACGGTAATCTTGCAGGTTTAGCTGATGCCAGCGCAGTATGGCTACGGCAATGCGACACAAATTCCAACTTCGCTTCCGTTAAAATGCATTCTGCATTAAAAGAGCACCGATTCAAACGCGGCCTCACACAACCGAGATTTTCAGACTTCCAAGCCAGAGACGTGCCTTCATGATGTCTCCCCTCTGCACCAGCTCCACGTTGATGTACTTCTCCGAGATGATGTTGAACTCGCCGTCCACTTGCACCAGGGCTGCTTCCGTGGCCTGCAGTGATATCAGCTTGGCCAGGGCAGCCGAAGTCTTGCCCTGCATGCCAAATGGGCAACGCACCTCAGCATCACAGACTTGCCCTTCAAATCCTCACCCTTGTCTAATTTGTTCGCACTGAGTGGAACAATCACGCTGTTGTGACGATGACAGTTGTGTCCCGTTAACATCCCCTGCTTTAACCGTTCAAACACTCAGTCTTTCCCTTCCACCGACAGAAAGTTGAAAGAAATTGCCTCGTTGCGAATTTTCGCTAAGTCTGGGTTGTGGAGAAATTGCACGGACACATTTTCTGTTTTAGAGCGATACGCTACGTATTTGGTGCTACGAGGTGACATATTCGGGTGATCAATTTTGTTACAATATTCTGCATGTCGCAAAATTAAAAGAAAAAATAGGTTCTCAGGAAAAATTAAGTCGTTTACCATACCCTCTTGAGCACGAAATATAAGAAACACTGCCATAGCGAAGATTTAATTTCTGTACCTACAAGTTAGGCTACAGACTGACTAGGTACTAAGGTACCTGGAAAACACAAGTCTGAGGCGTTCTCCAGGCGTGTCTCGGACGCCTGGAGCATGTCTCAGACGCGTGTTTTCCAGGTACTTTCGTGTATAAGGAGTGCTGTTGTTTGCAATAGTGCGCTGTAGTGTGTGTAAAAATGAGCAACCAACTCGCCCAAGCTGCTATGTTGACATGCCCCAGGCACCATGCCGCCGACCACTAAGCAACCAAAAATCAAAAGTCAATTTTGGGGGTTTTACGTGCCAAACCAACAAAGGGCATCTGGCACGCCCCAGCGAAGGACTGGGGATTAATTTTGACCACCTGGGGACCTTTTGACGTGCAACCGAAAGCTCGTTTACACGGCGCCTTCTCCGCAATAAGCCTCCGTCAGATTGCGGGCACCTCGGCCGGGATTCGAACTCGCCACGTGGGGATCCGTAGGCCGGCACTCTCGCCCCGAAGCCACCGAGGCGGTACACTAAGCAACCAATCCCGACTTCCAAAGACCGACCTTGGCAATGTGCTCCAGCCAGCGTCCGAGCGAGATGAACATGAGGAGCATGGGCGGCGTCTCGAAGAAGGTCTTGGGGCTGTGGTCCGCACCATCCACGATGAAGTAGATGACGATGATGACGCTGTAGAAGTAGGAGACGTTGGTGGCCAGCATTATGAGCACGTCCATGTTGGCCACCCGGTGCGACAGGGCCTTCCAGGCTTGCACGTAGAAGTAGCGGCCGCCAATGAACTGCAAGGAGTGACGGAGAGGGACCACGAAGGCGTTAAAGGGCAACTCCGCTCAATTCCGAAAAATTTAGGCTTCCATGTGATTCACATTCACAAAGCACCACTGAACAACTCTACGTCTTCGGATTCGCGAAATGTGGAATAATATTTGTGTAATCCTAATTTAAACATCAGCAGATACCGAAACCGAAACTTCGGTTGCGTCAGGCAACATCGGTCTCGGGTCGTCAAAGGCATGCACGTCACGTCGAACCACGTGGTCTTGTGACGCTCGGGAGGGAGCGAGAAACAGGACACGCGACGCGGGCAGGTTTTTTTTTTTTTCTTTTTTTTTTTTTTTTTATTGGACGCGGGAAGGTCGCTTTGCGTGGCGTGGACGGTGATGGCCTGGGTGAGAGGGGGAAGGGAAAAGACGAAAGAAAAGGGGAGCGGAGAAACAGACCGATAAGCGCGCAGGGCAGCGCAAAGTAGCGCATCCGTGTTACGGTGATCACGTGAACGCCCGGTCAGCCAACACCGGGAGGAGAAACTCATGACGTCATTGTTGAATTTCGCTCTGAGAAATAAAAACAAGCAAAACGTGAGAATGACGTACATGCCTCTGACGTAGTGGCTCAACGTTGGCCGCTCCAACTCCGTGGCATTGACTGCGCTGATGATTGCGCCTCGCGCCGCACGCTAGAGTTGGCAGATTTCGGCGACTTGGCTCGCTTGAAGGTTTGCCGGCCAGTTTATTAAATAAATAAACGGAATTAGATCGTAATATTTGACGTGGGGTCTTCCTATATGATACTGAAGAGGTCTACATAGTTTTCTAAATATCAAAAATGAAGCGGAGTTGCCCTTTAAGAGGTGACGAGTCGACGAGAGAACTCGCCGGTGCCATCTGTCGAGCGACCTGGGACACTTTCGACCAGCGTATACATTTTTATCATTTTTTTATGCATCACCTTTTCACTGCAAGCTTGAATTAATTCTGGCAACGTTATGACAGTTTCTCGCGGGTGACGCACAAATTTCATCCTGCAAATACTGCAAAACCTTCAGTCTAGTCACGTGGAGATCAATACTGTTTCAGAGCCACCCAGTGGACAAAACCAGTGTGCCAGTGCGTGAACCAGCCCCAACACTGAAGACCAGTATTGAGGCCCTAGTGGGAGGTAACAACATTCTAATGCTAGAATGTAGGCATATGAGAATAGTGGACTTTGAACTCGAAGCGGATTCAAAGCGATTCATGGTTTTGGTCAAATATTTTCTAATTAAATATCAAATAGTTTGTCCTAGCCTTTCACTATTGTGCGCCGTGCTTAAAAGACACACGCAAAGGAAATTTTAAACAGTTGGTATGGGAAAAGGAAGTCATAAAACAAATTTACAACAAACAAGATGATTTTTATTTACTCGCATAATGAACCCACTCGCATGATGAATGCACTCCCCACAACGGGTACCAATATTTGTATTTTTTCCCCCTCGCATAATGAATGCTCCTCCAATTTTCGACTCTGCGAGTCTCAAACTGGGTACAATTTAGCTAGCCACCAAGCCAATCTTTTTTTTTGCCGCCAAGCGGTCAGGCCAAGTCAAGCCAAGCCAAGCCGCTCTCGTAATGGCTGCAAGCGCATAGCCGCGGAAGTGATCGAACGTGAAATCGAGCAGCACGCACACTTGACGAAGCTTGGGTCGAGGAATTGCCCGGCCCCGGACATTCTTCGCCTACCGATCGTGTTTACGTCAACAAACACGCCGTCGTCTGTGGTCTCCTTTCGGACAGCGTCGCTCTCTGTGCTGAGTGAGCTTTGTAGGGTGCTTTTCCTTCAGCAAAAGGCACCCCGAAAGCACCGTAAAAATGTTCACAATTTATAAAGCATGGTACTGTGGCGCGCCCCCGACCAGCCGTGGGTGCGTCTCCATCAGTGGAGACGTGCCACAGTACCTTGCCTGGTCAAATTGGCACCTAATATGACATTTGCATGAAGTGAGTAAGTGCAAAAAAAGGACCGCATCTCCACGTGGTGAATGATAATGATTCGGAACCCACCTGAACGGGGGTGGCGAGGAGGAAGAGGAAGAAGTTCTCGGAAGAGAGCCCGGGCAACATGCAGCACTGGTTGTGCCGCTTCGTGATCATGCGCTCTGCCATGTAGTACATCATGAGCAGCATGGAGGGGACACCGAACACCAGCGAAAACAGGAACGAGTTGCGCCACCTGGAAGGCAGAGTTGGAGACGTAACTACCGGTCTGAAAACGTGCAGGATACGAACTGCCCCACGAGTAAACCATGTTTGTCGACGTTTAGCGCACTCAAAAACTGTCATTCAAGCATTCACACACCCAAAGAACACTCCTTTCACACAGCGCTCACTAACAACTTTGTATTTCGTGGTTTACTTCGGCTTCTACTTCTTCAGTAAACCATGAGAGCACGGCACGAGGTTTCCAGACCACTTTTCAGGCAGCAAAACATGCCACCAATTCGGGTCAGACTATGTTCACCAAAATGTTGCCCTGTAACATCTTTGATGAAGTATGTTAACGGAGATAGGCAGAGACTGGTTTGTGTACTCACTTTTTGACTTCTTCCTTTTGACACAGATAGCTGGCGTCTATTTTGTGGTCCGTGAACGGGGAAGCCTCAAAGCCAAGACTCTGGAGATAAAAACAAAAAAAAATACAAAGTAGATAACAATAATTCAGTTGAGAAAGAAATAAAGTCTGGTATAAAAGAAGCTTAACATTTTTCGGTAGAATAAAACGGTTACGAGAGACTAGTCCAATGATCTTTGACAATCGAGTGCGTAAATCATTTATACATGATTTTTCCAAGATAAGTACTGATTTAAAATTACACCTAAACTATTAAAATTATCTACAATATCTATTTACTTTGCATTCAGGACAAGGGTCTTAGTTGTAGAAACCTTTGTTTTTAGGCCAAAAGTTGATTGCCTTTGTCTTACTCGCACTGATGTTTAGCACGTTATCTGAGGACCACTTTTACAGTGCTGTTAGGGTCATGTTTGAACAGCTGAGAAGCTCGTGGCCAGTCTTGCCAGAAAAGAAGAGGCACGTTTATAAGAAAGGTTTCCTTTCTTTTAAACTTCCAAGGGTTTTGAGATGTGATAAACAAACAGTGCAAACAAAAAATATTTCTAAATCATTAACTTCGGATATGCGAGAGATTCATGTGAATAATGCAACTTGAGGACTTGGTATATTTTTTTAACGAACAAAACGAAAAATATTTTCACTTCATCTGGAGGGTTTTCACTAGCCACCAGGATTGGTATTGCTTTTTGGACTAGAAAAATAAATAAGCTCTACCAATTTTTTTTTTTTGTTTTACTCTCAACTTTTGTCAAATTTTGAGCCTTGGATATTTTATAATAAGGCTAGTGTTAAAAAAAAAATAAAAAAAAACTACCTCCTAGGAATTACAAAGCAGTAGCCAAATTTACGAAACTTGGCTTTTCAGATTCCTGAAGAGGCTACTTCCCGGCTTCTTCAGGAATCCAAGGAATTCAGGAATTCTCCAGGAATCTAAGAAATCCAGAAACCCTTTAGGGAAACTTCAGAAATTCTTCAGGAACTTTTTGCCATAGGGAAATGTTGGCAGCCACTCTGAGGCTTCCAGGGGGTGAACACTTCAGGAACACTTGAGAAATTCTTCAGGAATATTTTGTCAAAGCAAAATGTTGGCAGCCACTTGAGGCTCCCAGGGGGTGAACACTTCAGGAACACTTCAAAAATTCTTCAGGAATTTTTTGTCATAGCGAAATGTTGGCAACCTTTCTGAGGCTGCCAGGAAGGGAACACTTCAGAAGCACTTCAGGAATTCTTCAGGAATTTGTCGTCATAGCAAAATGTTGGCGGCCACTCTGAGGCTTCGAGAAGGAGAACAGTTCAGGAACACTTCAGGAATCCTTCAGAAATATTGTCATTGTGAAATGTTGGCAGCAAATCTGAGGCTGCCAGGAGGTTCCTTTCCAAGCTCTATCTCTAAGTTTCAGCTTACCCTCACACTTCGATCAAACTAATGCAGGTGTAACATCAATGGATTCAGTGCCATCAAAAACAAAGTTTCCACAACCTCAAACCCCAGCTGCAAACAATTCACTATACACAACAAAGACTCACGTGGATCTTGTCTAGAATCTGTCGTGGTCCAGTCCTCTCAGGGTCAAAGAGGAAGCGTCCCTTTTGTGTCCCGAGGCTCACCGATGCGCTTTCGACTCCCGGCAGCTTAGACACGTTGGACTCGATCGCGTGGACACATGACGAGCACGTCATGCCCCGGATCTGGGTGGGAAACAAACCGTCAAGGTAGGTTTCCGAAAGTGTTACTAGAACACTTCCGTCACCACGTTCGAACAATGCACTTGCCGGCTAGCAGATTTCAAGCAAATCAATCCCGGAAGCCGCTGCAAAGGGCTTTTCAATCTGGCAGACTTATCGTCTGCTTTTCTCTGTCGGACTGGCATACAGACTTTAGTCGACGCAGTTGGTAAATATTGATAAAGGGTCAGCTTGAACTTATGGAGACGAACGAAGAGAGGATGGACTTGGACCAAGCAGCTGAAATGACAGCTTTTTTTTATCCTGTTCCGTCCTTTCTTCGTTAGTTTCTGTAAGTTCAAGCTGAACCTTCATTAGACCGACACGCCGACCAGGGTGAAAAAAAGAAAAGAAACACTATGGCGTCATGGTGTAATGTGACAATGTGATCACGCCATGCCACAACGCCACAACGCGATCAGGGAACACAATCACGCAACTCTGGACGATTACATGACACCTACAGCAGTCAAGGTCATGTAACTACTGTGAACGACTTTATTTTCGTAGACTCAATATTTCCTTGAATTTTGTGTAGTGTGGGTTTTGGGAACATTTCGTGGGCACATAATTTAGCGATTGGGAGAGGTTTGTTATGCATTTCTTACTGTGGGGCAATATATTCGCAAGATCCATTCTCTGCAATATTATTCAAGTAACAAAATTCGCAAAACTTAATTTGTTTACATGACACCTACAGTGGTCACATGACTACGTTAGGTGTCACGTGATCACAAGCTCACGAATCCCATCAGTAACACCACACACACTAAGCAGAAAGGTGAAATCGCTTGGCTCATAGTAATTCACCAATATGCAACTCGGCTGTACTCGATTATGGTCAAGCTCGAAAATAACTTTTACTCTGGGGTAGCAGATGCAAGTATGGGCGATTGCCAAAGCAACCCTAATAGTAGAGTAGAGATCTGTTATAGTAACTCTGCATGAAGTAAAACACCAGCTGTAGTAAAAGAAAGTGTCGACCCAAAATTAAATCCCACTTCTTCTATGGCTCGAAATTCCGATATAGCAAATCACCAAGACTGAAAAAATAATGGTTACTTTACTCCGTTCACCTCTAAGCTGACAGTTCGATGGGAGCTACGTGCTCAACGGACCATTCCACCGCCTTCCATTCGTTACCTGACCCCGCTCTCTGCGCGGTGGTGTGGGCGCGATCTGGTGGCAAAATACAGACATATCACTAGACCAGCTAGAATGTGGTTTCCACCACGCCATAAGCTTAGGGGTGAACGGAGTATAATTTCAAGGGAACATGGTTGGAGTAACAGACAGACAGAGGTTTCCGTACCAAAAACTCTGCCTCCCCATGCACGGTCTTGTGGTCGTTGAGGATGGAGGCATTGAAGCCCATGCTGTTGACGAGTTCGACGAGTTGGCTCGGCTGGACGAGCACGGGGTTGTACTTCACCTCCGCCTTCTGGGGGAGCAGAGCCACGAGTGCAAACTTCACCCCTGCAGAGAGCAAACGGACACGATGGCACGCCAAGACTACCAGAACATCCGTTCAAATTCAGGCGCAAGTTTACCGCGGTTAGCGCCCCTTTAAGACCAATTTAGCTTTCAAGTGCACATCATTTACAGGGTCAGCTCTTGGTGCTTCCATGCTAGCATCTGGCATGTAGCCTCGAAGATGTCATGGAACGTGCTTTCCTGATGGTGAAGGTGTGCGACTTTGTTTCCCACTTAAATCATAAAGAACATAGCAAACACATTGCTACGCAGGTTGAAGCAATATTCGTGCCTCGATGACATTGCAGCATCATAAGACAATGTGTCATGTTGTCATGCGACGCAAGGTCACGTGGCTATGTGAATTCCCAATGGTCACGCAACTCTGCCTCCAACTTAAATCATGAGAGGTAGCAAATGCATTGCTACACAGGTTGAATCAATATTCGTGGTTACCAAGTGTGCTCAAAGAAATAATCCTTGTGCGTTTACGCTATCGCACAACGTGCATTACATCGACAGCCGCTTGGCACTCGGATGATTCACTATAATTTCGGCAACATTGTCATTTCCACACGTCCTCCTGGGCATGATTCCTAAGGTTTTGCTTGCCATTTTTGATTCCGTTCTCGATTCCACTCCCGTGCCCATCCAAGCTTCGTCTACGACGAGCCTCCTCGGCGTGCCGTAACCAAAAGTCACAGCCTCCGGTCCTGCTACAAACTTTTCGAGGTCCAGCCGTACGGCGTGCAAGTTTGTCTGCTCGGACGGCCCTGCCCTTTGTCACCAATAGCCGGTGACAAAGTGAGACCCGCAGGGCGTTCCTTTCGAACGCCCCGCCTCCAACACATGCTCGTTGCTTCTCGCTGCACCAAAAGTTTTCGCAAGTGACGACCACACAATTCCCCGGGGAGGTTTTCACCAACAGCTGTTGCTGTAAGAAAGCCATGCTTCCCCACATGTTCCCACCGTGCTATGCTGGGCAAGCAAAGGTGAAAGGTGCATGTCAGGACCCCCACCTTTGACACTGATGAGTTGCCGCTCGATGGCCGAAACGCAGGACGAGCAGGTCATGCCTGTGACCCTGAGAAAACATTTTTCCGTCTCGTCAAAATTTTCCAGACGTTCATTGTTGACGCTGACATGGTCGCCTGACCCCTTGTGCTCCTCGCCTTGTGGTTTCTCTGTGCAAAGAAGCGTGACACAATCGGAGCTGTAAAGTAATCAATTGTCTTATTAACATTTTCACTATTGTATTTTTTTAAATAAATATCTTTTAGTGGGTGGGTTTTGTTTGCAGGTGGTAATAGAAAAAAAGTCAATGTAAAGGTTTTTTTGTTTTTTTTTAAATTATTATTTAACACGAGGATGTATAGTGCTTGCAAGCAGTTCAGGTTGAGAAGCATCAAAAAGGGAATGTTGAGGGGGAAATATTGCCTTTCTTCCTTTCGGTTTCACTTTAGCATGCCCACTTCTGCGACATTCCGGCAGTCTCCAATTCTGAACCAGGGGTACTTCACAGAGCTTCTGCATCGGCTGACAACCTCTCATTCTTTGAATGAAACTCTAACAAGCATGAAAAGTGTGAATTGAAGAGCTGGCACGCCGATTGCCACCATCGTAGGAGCGGTCGACACGCAAAGCGACTATCTCACACGTATCATGTGCGCGGAGCGCCTAGTTTTAAAATTATAAACAGCCTCAGCAAAGTGAAACACTGTGCGAACATAACGTTTATGGCTCACCAAAGACAAAACAAATAGCAGCACCCTTTTCGGTGTGCGTGATTTCGCATTTGGGCGGGCACTTTCAAATGTGTAATCGCCGCCATACATGTACGGTGACAACCGTCAAAAGGCTAAAGGCACAGTCATGTCTTGTTAGTATGAACACCCCACCATATGGAATACATTTTAGGGAACGGACTGGGTAAATACTTGCACTTTTGCCTCATTATTATGGACGACTCGCATTACGGGCAATTTTTAGAGGGGAACGGAGGTGCCCATATTAACGAGACATGACTGTAAAGGGCCCCTGAAAAGAAAAAAAAAGTTTTTTTTTAAACAATATAATTGGGACATGTGTCAAAAAATAAATTTTATGCGAAAAAAAAAACAAAAAAAAACAATATTGACAGCTAGAGATTGTTTTTTAAATTCTGCGCGCAAAGTCCATGATTTCACGGAATGGTCATTTGCTCTTTCGACATCAGCAAGATGGTCATTCGCTCTTTCCACTCCAACATGAAGGCAAAGCCGATCCGCCTCTCTTCAACGCGCTCGAAATACCGAGAAAGAAAACAGGTGGTAAGTCACTGTAATTACCGTAAAATACCGGACAGGCGCCCGCTCAGAATTTAGAGATAATCGCAAAAAAATGGGAGATGGGCGCTTGTCCGGTCATCAATTTTACACATCAATCTACTGTGCAGATTTTCTCAGATCTTAGAAATTCGGGAATGGGCACTTAATGTGGAATGGGCGAATGTGCGGTATTCTACGGTAGTCAAAGTTTTGGTAACTACTTCCAAGATTACACAAGAAAATTTCGGTGACCGCAAATGAAACCAAGTTACGTTTCTGATGTAACTTGTAGATCAGATCGACTATAAGCTAAGCCTCCCGGCGAAATGTCAGCCAACACTCCAAGGCCCCCCGGGAGTTAATTTTCAAAATTATGTGGACAAATAAAACAAAAGTATGTTGGTTTCCACTGCAACTAGTGTATAAGACGCACCTCCCACTTTTCGCAAGTTTCTAAGTAAAATTAGTATATAGGACCGGAAAATACGGTAGATACGATTGTCGGAAATTCACCGCAAAATATGGTAGATACAACTGCAACAAAATCAAGAAAAAAAATTTCTTTTTAAAGGGTTAAAATAAACGAGTGATAAGCACTTCGTCAGACCTTAGCCTATGCATGTGGTACCTTACAGGAGTATTTTTCACTTCCTCTTTACAAAATTAATTTCAGAAACAATCATTTTTAAACAATCACACTCCGAATCCGATAAACAATGGCAATGACTTTCTGAATATCTTCATCGTCGTCTGGAAGAAACAAGGATATAAAAGGAAGTCCGAGCACAATGGGTTTGGAGGATTAGATTGATGGCATAACCTAGAGCCACTAAATACCTAAGCTATGCCTCAGAGTCTTGGTGTTTAAGATCATGGTTGCCAGTTACTTGAAGCTTTACCTCAAATCGCAGGAAATGCCTTCTCCGTCCTCCAGAAATGTTAAAACAGTTTGAGACAGAGCGAAACATTATCACCTGAACTTCCTAGCATGGGTGTCTAAAGCTGAGGAAGTCATTTTTTAATTGTGACGATCAACGGCTGCGTCTGCTCTGCACCGAGCATCAAGATGGCGGCGCCCATTAGCAGATTAGTGAACGGAGTACCTCTAGCTTAGCCCTTTGTACCGAGCAATAACAGTGTAATAAGCAAGAACCTGTTAAGATTCTTTTTTTAAAATATCACTGCACCTCAGAGTTGGTGACGCCGGGATTTCAACCCATAAATTCCACCGGACAAAATGAAGAATTACAGCAAATATTTAAACAGTAGTCAATATAGTTCCACATAAACAATTATTTTGTGGAGCTCAATTATGTGGCATGAAACTAAGCTGTTATTTCGGTTACGCGGAGGTTTTCCTAGGGTTGTAAGGAGCACACGCAAGATGACACTTGAAGCGTTCTGCCAGTCTGTCACAGTGCATTGCTCCAGAGCTACTTGTTCCCAGGGAATCTGCTCACAGCATAGCTGGGTCACCAGGGGCTGTTCTCAACGCCACAGCGACGTAAAACTTAAATTAATCCTATTGAAAAAATATGTCTTGCCATCTGCTGAAATACCATAATAGAATAAAAGTATGTTACAAACTACCCTATGTTCCAAGTCGCTCGCCTGAATGGTAGAACCTCTCAACAGAGGACTAAATATTTCTGGGGAAATCTTCACTACTACTTCAACCTCCATATCAATCAGTCCACCTTTAATGCCAGCAAATGCACGCTCACAACTTGCTTTACTATACCTGTCTCTTTCCCGTGCATGTATTTACGACAGATGGGTTTCTCAAAGTGCAAAGCAGCATGTTCCTGCAACACCTGCCCGCAGAACTTCCAAAACTCAATCCCGCCCTTGCAAAGCCTATCTCGCATAAAACTAGGCATCTGGGTCACTCGCGTAAAACGTCCTGGGAAAAAAAAAAAGACGTCGGCATTTGTAGCTTTTTCACAACATGGTCACAGCTGCGACCCCGCCAGAGTCTGGAGCCCCCCACATGTGCGGAGAATGTTAAAACCCGCGCCTGGGAGAAACACAACCTGACAAAATATACAATGGCAGTTTACGTTTCCCAACTACGTTCGAGATCTGTCAAATTCGTAAATCTGATTGCCAAGTTTGCAAATTGCAAAAATATTAAAAACTTGTGTTCCTTATTAATGGGGACAGCTGAATTTTTTTTATGAAATATGAAGGAAAACGAGTGGATAAGGCTGTGTTTCTGTCTGGCCCCATCGCTCAAATTTAGTTTTCCCAAAGTTCTACCATTCTTTCGATAGACTTGTGCATGAACATAGTCTGTGAAAATGCATTGGCACTTTTCTTAATATACTTGCACATGTTAGCCTTGGACGCCCAGTTTTACAGACCACATTTGTGCCCGATATAATCACGGTAGCGTACCAAGTAGTTATTGTTTCGATGAAAGCCTTCCCGCTGCAAAAATATGTTGAAAGCAGGCAATTGTGAGTCGTGCTGAGTCGTGCTCTGTGTATACTAGCATGCTAGCACTGCGTAAAGATTTCAAATTGTTTAGTTATTTGTCAAGCAAATGTTATGCTGAGACAATTCATCACCTCAATAAGTGATAGCATCAATGAAAAGAAATTTAGTTACAGTCTCAAGAGCAATAAAGATTTGCTTGAAGCAGTAACTTGCAAAGGGGAAAAATATTTTCCTGTTTTCTAGCCCTGAAGGCCTAATAATTTTGTTGGGTGTAAAACATGCTGAAAGCCTCTAAATTTGGATCAGTTTTCAACATGAAGGCATCTGATAGAAGGACATGACCAGTAATCCTTTCTTCACTCAATCTGCATACATCCACATTTTTTGTTTCTTTGCTCCTCACAAATGTCTTTTTAAATGTTTCTGCGAGACTTAAAAGATAGAATTTCACGCAGGGATACCTAGTGGCAGGTTGTACGTTTTGGAGTGTCAAGCTAATCTTTTTATTCCTTTTTCTAAACTAATTCATAACAACTGTAAGTGGAACATTGCCAAATTGAACATACAATATCATGCGTCTGTATTTTTATGTTTGTGAGCAGACAAAATAAACAAGTGATGATGATGCTGATGAAAAGCCTAAGAAAAGTTGCAACTCCAAACGTCGTAGAACCGGTCGCAATCGTTTGTTTCTGTCCCGCACAACCTGTGGCACCCTGTGCTTGACACCTTTTTCCACGGATAAAACCCGCACACAATACCAAAAACGAAACAAAAAAATAGCCTGCGCAAAACTGCACTGAAAAACATTTCACGACCTGAAACAACAGTTAGAGCGACACTGACAATCACCAAAAATAACTTTCTTTTTCGCAGAAAGCACTTGGATAATGCCTTCGAACCAAGACCGAAAAATGTTACCCCTGAAGTCGTGCATTTTGTGAGAAAAACACGCAATGACAGACAGAAACCAGAGGACTACTGCGGACCCCCAGTAACTATCGGTGACCCCGGGTAACTTACTACCAGTGCAAACACACCAGTAGTTACAGATTGTCACTTGGGTTGTCTCACTCCCTCAACCATCCAACAGTTGCCTTTAAACCAATGTGTTTTTGATGTTACGGGTGTTGTAAAAAGAATGTTTCCTTAATCCTGTTATTTTTACGACAAAGGTATGCAAGAGAGCCTATTACATCTAAAAAATATAAGTAAATAAAAAATATATAAAGAATAAGTAAATGTTGTCACGCGATGCTTCCAAGAAAAAAAGAGAGCGAGCAAAGCCCTGAGCAGCCAGTTTGTAAACAAACGTCTTCTTGCAAAAAAAAAAAAAAAAAAAAAAAAGAAGGAAAATGATGGGCCGCAGATCTGTACAAACGAAAGCATGCGGCACGTGTAAATGCGTCCTCCATTCGAGCTTGTTATTGTTTGAAAAATATGTTTGAGACCGAGGAGCACACAAAGAAGGACGCAAACATCAGTGTAACTGCCCCGTTTTGCGCCTCCCTTGATGTTGGAGTTTTCTCACCTTCCCTTTCCAACGTCACAGAATCCTCCCACAAACGCAAACTCACCAGACACCTCCTTCCGCTCCGCGAAGCCGACCTCCGGAACATCCGCGTCCACGGGAGAGGCGCTGAGCACGGAGCACTCGAACCCCATGTCCTCCACGGCTTCGGCGAGCTGCTCCGCCGACACAAGCCCACCGTCAAACACAAACCTCGCGCACTCCGCCTCGAGCGACACCCGCACACCCTTCACGCCGGGCAGCTGACCGACGTGTGCCTCGATGTTGCGCACGCACGACGAACAGGTCATCCCCTTCACGCCGAGCGCGGCCCACGAAAGCCGCAGCCGCGTCATCCCGACGCCGTTTGTCACGTTCTCGGCGGAGGTGACAGACGCGTCAAATGCAACTGCAATGAGGGGATGGGTTCTTCCGCCGTGCAACGCGACAACTTCACTGATTCCGGACGCGTCGCGGAGCTTGTTGCGGACGAGGGCTTCGAGGTCCTCCTCGTCTCGCGAATCTTCCGCGTCGACTTCGTAGATCGCAAAGTCGATGCGCGGAGCGGCACAGTGCCGCGCACCAAATCCTACGTCCTCGATGCAGCCGCGAATGGATTCCGGGCACGTCGCGGCGGTGTCGTATGTGACTGCAGCGGAGTTGCCCTTGTGGTCGACCTGCGAAGCGGTTTGCGCAAACATTAATGCAGCTGCGGCTGCAATTTGGCAGCTGTGCTTGTTTTCAAAAAACGCAAAAAAAATTAAAACAAAAAATATTAACATGAATGGAATTGTTGGCAAATAAGCGGGCACTCCTATGGGATGGGCTGGAGCCGAGCAAGTTGGGCCACGCCTGCGGATAGAACAAGCTAACCATATATGAACAAAAAGGAAAGAAAACCGAGAAAAAGGCGAATGTTAGAATAATGACTGTATAGTTATTAAATATCTTACGTTTCCTCCTCTCTACGGTGTATCTGCCGCACTGTGGTTTGAAATCCCCTAAAACCCCTACAGAACACGGAATAACAAGCTGTGAACTGAAGGCGACGCGTTTGTTGATCGCGGCCTCGATTCCCGCATGCCTTTGTTAGATTTTCTTGCGCAACCTGTTCCGGGTTTTTTTCTTTTTTAGGAATCTGATTGTCAGAATTTTGGTCGATGACAGGTAACAAGGCAGATGCTCCGCCTCCGGTGTGAGCATTCTGCCTTTGATAACACTTTGTCGCGTACAGAGCCAATGCTAGACGGAAGGTAACGAGCCCTTTCCTGAGGCGGAGCTTCTACTGAGGTTCTGACTATCACTGATGATAGCGACAGCGGGTATCTTATGGCAGCGTAAGAGGCTCACACGCCTAGATGCCGAAACAAATCATAAAAATTACCGTCTTGCAAACAAAACAAAAAATCTGCGAGCTCATTTAAAACATATGTTATGCACCAAAGTTACAACAAATTTATAAAAACTGAGAGAAATAAAGACAGAGAGTTAATTGCAGTAACTTATCAAAACTGTCACATGCTAGTAGCTGCGACTAAAGTATTCCTTTTTTTCTAGTTTACTTCATTTTAATTTACACTGGCCTCCTTCAAAGCAAGAAAACATACAAGTACAGGTGAGACAAATAGGGATCTTATTTAAGCACTTGTTTCAAAAACCTGATTTTGAGCTCATATTTATTTTAAGATGCAAGCAAAAGGTGAGGCACTCGGTAGCGCATTGGTGCATCACAGCACCACCTGTTACCTAAAATACATAGCAGTGTTTATGTTGTAAACATTGCCCGACTTTTCTTTTGTTTTTAGATTTATGATAAAGAGGTAAGAAGAGAGGCAGTGTGCATCTGTAGATGCAGCACAACTCGCACATAATGTTCTCATTCGACAGTTCTACAATTAAAATGTTCCTGTTCGTTACTACTTTTAAATTTGATCACGAGAATACGTAACAATGAAAAGAAAAGAAAGAAAAAGAATGCTTCTCACAAAGACTGAGCCTAGCTGCACCGATTTTAAGCTTCACACTACAGGAATCAAAGGAGAAGGGTGGCACATGTTTAAAGAGGCACGCCAAATCATAACTAAAAAAAAAGCACCCTCCACAGATGCATGGACAATTTGAGATGGAAAAAAAACACAGCAGGGTTGTATCCTCGCATCTAACCCCCTTGCTCCTGAAAAGTGTGCAAGTACAATAGCAGAAAGCAACAGCTGGCACAAACCTAGTAGACATATAAGATGCACACAGTTCACAGAAATATACTGCCGGGTATGAATTAAATGCAAACACCGGAGTGCGTGGTTCGCGATACACGCTGCACTACCTAGAGGCAACCAGGAACCGATGTAACTATGGGGCAAAAAGGGAGCTGAGAAGGTACGCTCCTACTTCGATGTGCGAACCCTCGTAGTCCCCACCCCCTCTCCACTCCGCAGTTTTACCAGCTCCTAGATGCCACTAGATTGCGCAACATCTATCAAAGGACACGCACTCCGCTGTTCACATTTCATTCGTACCCGATAGCACAAGGCCCGAGCCAGAGGTTGCTTGCCTCGACCAAACCAGCAAAAGGCATTGGGTACTTTCCATCAAAGGACTCAGGATTAAGGCTGGTTCACAGATTTTCCACTTCCGACTACTTACAACTAGAGAACTTGCTGTCCTTATCTATCGAATTAGCCTGGAACACTTCAGATCTGCCTATATTTGATGTATCCTTCTTTTACCGTGTGCTTGATATAATCCCACAACGTTATAGGCCACCATTTCTCATAGATAATGCATAGATTCAATCTCACAAAGACTGAGAAACCTTCGGTGTAGTTACGTGCAGATCTGAAAAGTTCTGGGGCTACTTAACAGATGGCACTAGTGTGCCAGCGAGTTCTTTCGTCGTAAGCGGCCACGAACGGTTAAGACACAGTCGATCACACTCAAACATGGATGTGAGGGTGTGGTTGGGATCTTCCAAGACGCAACCTAAACCTCCGCAGTTAAGCGCCTCTGAGCTGCGGCCGTCTCGTCGGCAACTCACGAACCTTGTAGTCGCAGACACCGGGAAGCTCGGAGAGGGCCTTTCCGATGGTGTTGGCGCATGACTGGCAGGTCATGCCTTCGACCTCGAAGGTCGCAATGGCACGCGACCCCATCGCGGCCAAGCTCATCGACCCCTCGAAACGACCAGAAGCTGTCTACGCCTGTCGAGAATCACATCGCCGTTGAAAAACCTAGAAAAGAACGAAGACGAAGGTATCCATTGAGACCACTCAATAAAGTGGCCCTCATAAAAAAGAAAAATTGCACGTGATGTATTTAGACAGCGACAGTGGTGCTGCTTACTAAATGAGATCACGGTGATGACGATCGATTGACATTGCACCGATCGTGCATCATACAATGATCTAGTGTTGAAATGTCGTTGCGTTGATTTAGCGTCGATTTATTGTTGATGAACAAATGATTTTAATGTCCCGATGTGTTTTTCTGCCACAATCAGCGGGGAAACTGAATTGGTGCATAGGTCACATGACTTCAATTTTTCCGCTAAATTTAGCACGAAACTGAATTGGTGAATAGGTCATATGATGTAAATTTTTCCACTAAATTTAGCGGGGAACCTGAATTTGTCTGCAGGTCCCGTGAAGTCAGGTCACATGACATCAATTGTTTCGCCATATTTAGCGGAAAGACTGACTGCGCTTACGCTCACGCCGCCAAAAAACCGGGAAACAAGCCACTAACAGCTGTCGCTGCAAAAAAAATTTTGACGAAGCATATAATTAGTGCCGAGTACAGCTGGTTACGACCTCCCATGTATAGGATTGCTCGCCCAATTGACGCGTTTATCTACGACGAGTTGATTGCGATGAGCTGGCTTGTGGCCAGTTCTTCCTGACCCACTTGTGTCACGGTACACAAAAATGCTCGGTTTATCTTGATCCGACAGATAAAGTTTGTATACACGGGATATGTTTCCAGGCATTCTTCGGCGGCTTGAGTTGGACATTGCATCTTTGTTTTCTTAGGTTACAGCGCATTATTTTATTCCAAACTCTATCTTTTTCTTTGTGACGGTGGGCACGTCCTGGATTTCTCGTCTTGTCCTATAAACTATCAGAACGGGAATGTCGAACGAGAGTGCCGCAATGCCGCCATTCACGTTTGAACAGTTAGCAGAGACCACCCCGATAGAGACAGAGTTGGCTTGCTTCACGCCTACCTGCCCACTGGCGCGGTGGTAGAACGTCGAGCTAACCATCTCAGGGTCGTTGGTTCCATTCCCAACAGGGCGCACTCAGAATTTTCTTCTTCCTTCTCAATTTACCACTCTTTTGTACAGAACGTCCTTTGAAGTACATGTTGCATTCATTCTTTCATTCATTTATTTACCCTTAAAGGCACCAAGGCATTTCGTCACACCTTGCTCCAGAATCCCGGCCCTTCGACCCATTCTGCGTTCAAATCTCTGCCCACAACTTCACACACCGCCAGAAGAGTTGCAACCGATTGCCTGGAAGCTTTCCACGGCGTCATCACCTGCTGGAGCTCGTGAGGTAATTGCAATCCCCAAAGCCCGCGGAAAACTCATAAGCGCCACCGGTACGATGCCCGGAACCCTTCCCCGGCCGCCGCGTTTACCCCATAAAAAAAGCTGGTTCCTCGATTTCCACCTCACGACGTCGGAGAAGCGTTACGCTGTCGTCGAACGCGATTCGGGCGGTTTCCCAGCGATGGTGGTGGAAGTGGCAGACGCCTGTTCGGTGCGGGTCGCTGTCTAGATTGACAGTCCGCGGAAGCTTCGGCAGCCGGGAGTTGGGATGCCGCGACTTTGGCAACAGTCGCTCATAATACTTTTCGCTGGGTCTTTCAGCACCAACTGCATGAATTCGAGACGTACGACAGAATGACACTACGGCTTTCGCGACTTCATTTGTTGTTGGTTCGGAACCACTTTCGATGAGCACGCGGATGCTGCCGTCGATGCCTGCGACGCTAGCCTTCTTCTATTTTGTTTTAAGCACAAGTTTGCCCCGTTGAGCGTTTAGCTTCCTTCAGCTATTTGTCGCCTCCTCGACTGTCACTCGTCACAATATTGTTAATCGACTACTTACAACTTAAACGTAAGGTGTGGCGAGTCCCGCGCACCGCGTTATCGCTCCTCGGCCATTGGGACCGCGGCGTTGGCCAACAATGCAGAAGGACCAATCGTGAGACACGCAAATGTATTAAGCCACGCCCTGCAGTGACAAATGTTGGACTCCACGCCCGCCCTCCTTATGTTTTGCTCACGTTTGAAATTTGAGCGTTTGGTGATGCTCGCGGTGCACTTGCCCTCGACAACAAAAAAGCAAAACGCAAGCGGTTGCGACTTGGCACTGAAGATCTTCGTGAGCCTGCGGCGCTAATTTTGTTTGTCTAAGAGTATCCGAAGTGTCGAAATGCACCGTGGACGCCAAACTTTCTAATTTCTCAATAACGTCCATTAAACTGTAGATAGTGACACTTCGACGAACAAAGACGAAGCGAGGAAAACTCTAGAAATGCTCGGTAGATGTATTTGCAATAAATTCAATTATATATAAAGCATGAAGTTGTCAAATCATAAAAAATTTAAAAAAAGAAAATAAATTTTTTTTTTTTAAAGTTAGCATGACATTTTCTTTAACTTCCAATTTAGAAAATTGTGCTCGAAATTTAGACTCGCAATACTTCTACTTCAACAGAACTTTCCTAATTCAGATAACTATATACCTCCCAATCGAATCTTATGACTGACATCACACGGGCAAAATATCCCCTAATTATAATTTTTTTTAAATCATTTTTTTTTTTGTGCATGTGATTTTTGGCCACCTTTCCTCTTGTATAACTACAGAATACAATGAAAAGCAGTCATTACTTTGGAAGTAACAATTAATGTTACAATACAGTAAAATCCATCTTGAGGAAAAACAATTGTAATAGGAAGCAGTTATGTTTTGCTAGCAATGCAAATAAAACTAAGCTGTCGAAATTTGTAACATTTACAGAGTGCAGCACACTTGACATAAAAAAGTGATTGCTGATCTTCATCTATTTCTGCTGATAACAAACGGCTAGAATGAAACCTGCTAGTGTGTTAGGACATGCTCAACCGGAGCATCAACTTCGTCAGAGATTAAAAACATGGCGTTTGTCATTCCTTCTGCGAGTCAAAAGCAAAAAAGTTCTGATGCCATGTTCGTGCCAACTGGGTTTCACGGTGTAAAATTTACCATGCGAACGTTATTTTGACATTCCAGACGACCAATGCACGCCGCACAACGACCCCCGTAAGCCCATAAAAAGGCACTCGTCGACAATAACAGGAAATATTGCTCAGCAATATTTCCCAATGTTTCAGTAATAAGCCTTTTTCATCGTACCATTTCTCTGGATGGCTGGCTAGCAGGTCCTCATACGTACCGATCCCTGCCCGACTACCTAGCCTTGTGAGTCAGCCAGAGTACCTTGACATTCACTAATTATTATTATTATTATTAATATTTCGTCTTATTATGCCAACAGCAACATGTGTAATTGTTGTTCTCGGGGAGAAACAATGTTTTGTGCAAACAGAAAAAGGTACTGGTTCCTGTAATGCAGTGATAATTAGTTATCAATAATGAACTATGCCACACTTAGCAAGTTCAAATGGCAACTTTATGATAATTGTTTTCATCTGGCAACACCATTGTGTATTCAGTTACTCAAAAAGCAAACAAAGTCTGCGCTGACAGATAACCAGCAATGTGCTAGTTTCCTGTCGTTACAGTTTTATTTCCTAGAAATATTAGAGAGTTGTGAACCACTCCCTTCGAGCAACCTTCATTAATTTATAGATATAACATCTCCGATTCTAATGCGCCCCATTTTTTTATAGAAAAATTCACCTAAAAAGTTTGCACGTGACAATCTGATACGAAATCAAAATCGGGGGCAACTTAGAATCACTACTCTTAGGTAAAAAAAACTGGGTGCACTATAGGACACGGGCCGCAATATAAATCGGTTAAGTATGGCATTCCCATCTTTTGAAAAGAGTTGCAACACTTGGCTCATAAAAAGCAAATATTCAAAGCAGGAACAATGAAACAATGCGAGAGTATGAATTATGCGCCAGCACAGAAACAAATGTAACAATTCAGTGTTAAGCTAGCGACTGCAACAACAGCTGCAAGCAATAAAATAAGCTGCAAAAAGGCGGCAAAAAAAAAAAAAAAAAAAGATAATAAACAGGTCTGTGACATGCGGCAATCTCGATTTAGATTGTGTGCTCAGTCTAACGAACTCGTGACTACCTAGGATGCGATTTTCTTTTCTACGACATTTTCCAGATACCTCCTTAGTGTATGTTTGGGGACGACTTGTATGTTTCGGTGGTTTGCCTGGCACAAACATAATATCATAGAATTATTGATGCACATATTTGCCAGATGGCTTCAGAAGGATGACTCAACAGTGAAGGAATCTAGCCACAATTTTTTGCTTCAGAATTAAACAGCAGCACATAATCAGCATATTGCAACAAACAGTGTTGGGTAAAGTACATCTAAGAAGTACTTGAAGTACAAGTAAATGAGAGCTGAATAATGTAGCTAGGCCATCTGGCACGTGGGGCCCTTATGTCTTTCGTAGAGGTGGCACCCCCCCCCCCCCACGTGACTGGGACGCCTGGTACCCAGGGTACCAAACGGGTATCCCCGAGTACTAAACGGAATGCTGGAGAGGAGAGGAAGAAGCACCCTCCTCACTGCAGCGCTCCGTCCGCTTCCTCCTCCCCAGCCTTGCGTTCCCTCGAAAACATTTCTTAAACTGTAACCGACTATAGCAACAGTTTTGAAGATTGAAACTACAATGCCATCTAGTAAAAATATAAAAAAAATAAAAGAGATTTGGCACGCAAATATGTGGCGACCGAGAATGGCGAAAAATATGAATATAGGTTTTTCTCCTGCAACTGATATCTTACAATAGGTGACCATTTTACTTGAGGCTATCGTATGCACAGATGTCATTGAGATTTTATAATGATCCATAGAGGTTACACAAGAAAGCCACCTTTAGATTTTCACCTAGTGTTGCCCACTGCAAGTTTACCTTACAATTTTTTTTTTTTCAGCTCTGTTCTTTTATTTGATCTTGTTAAACATTAATGTCTTAAAAAAATTTATGTTTTATACAATTTTTGTATATTTCCCCAAT